AACTCAAAAAGTGTTTGAGATATCAACATGAAATGTCATAGGTGGATAGATCTTGTTGAGGAGGAATGTTGTGCACAAGAATGATAACTCTTCCCTATACAATTTTTGAGTTATTGCCCTTTTTTTTTCATGCTATTTTGTCCAGAGCTTATCTCAAAAAGTATTTGAGGTATCAACTTGAAACTTCAAATGTGGATGGATCTCATTGAGGAGGAGTGCAGTGCTTAAGAATGATAACTCTACCCTGCATTAATTTTGAGTTATTGCCCTTTGTTATTTTTCAAAATTAATTTTTGTCCAGAGCATAACTCAAAAAGCCTTTGAGATATCAAAATGAAACTTCATAGGTGCATAGATCTCACTCAGGAGGTGTGCACTGCACAAGAATGATAACTCTACCTTTTATAATTTTTGAGTTATTGCCCTTTGTTCTTTTTATACTTAATTTTTCAATTAAATTTTTTTCTCAAAAAGTATTTGAGGTATCAATTTGAAACTTCATAGGTGGATAGATTTTACTGAGGAGGGATGCAGCACACAAGAATGATAACCTACCCTGCATTATTTTTCAGTAATTGCCCTTTGTTATTTTCAGCCATCAGTATTCACATAGGTTTCAAATCTGTAATCACTATAGCCATCAGTTTTCATTACCAAAAGACCTCTTAAAATGGAATTATTCCGCTCTACTACATATACATTCTTCCAATGAGCAAACACATTCGGCGGGGGATGGCCATGTTGACATGGCTCTTGTTTTACCCTATGACCACCTGACTTTCATCACTAAAAATCCACTTACTCCAGTGTTCTTCCACAGTCCAATGTTTTCTTTCATTACACCATTTTACCCGATTTTTATGCCCCCACAGAGTGGGAGCATATAGCGTTGCACTTGTCCGTCCGAGTGTCCGTCACGCCGTACGTCTGTCCGTCCGGCGTCCGTCTGTCCGTACGTCCCGAAATCTTGTGAACGCAACTCCTCTTAAACCGGATGGCAGATTTTGCTTAAACTTCCAGAGATGAACAACCTTAATGTGTAGATGGTAGTAAAGGAAGGAATTTTTGCTGCGACCAAATTTAACAGAATTATGGCCCTTTGTTGATTTTTTCACTATATACTATGTAGAAATTTTGTGAACGCAACTCATCTTAAACCGGATGGCAGATTTTGCTTAAACTTTCAGGGATGAACAACCTTAATGTGTAGATGGTAGTAAAGGGAGGAATTTTTGCTGCGACCAAATTTAACAGAATTATGGCCCTTTGTTGATTTTCTCACTATATACTATGTAGAAATTTTGTGAACGCAACTCCTCTTAAACCTGATGGCAGATTTTGCTTAAACTTCCAGGGATGAACAACCTTAATGTGTAGATGGTAGTAAAGGAAGGAATTTTTGCTCGACCAAATTTTACATAATTATGGCCCTTTGTTGATTTTTTCACTATATACTATGTAGAAATTTTGTGAACGCAACTCATCTTAAACCGGATGGCAGATTTTGCTTAAACTTCCAGGGATGAACAACCTTAATGTGGTGATGGTAGTAAAGGAAGGAATTTTTGCTGCGACCAAATTTAACAGAATTATGGCCCTTTGTTGATTTTTTCACTATATACTATGTAGAAATTTTGTGAACACAACTCCTCTTAAACCAGATCGCAGATTTTGCTTTAACTTCCAGGGATGAACAACCTTAATGTGTAGATGGTAGTAAAGGAAGGAATTTTTGCTGCGACCAAATTTAACAGAATTGTGGCCCTTTGTTGATTTTGATTTTTCAATTTGTGGCACATGTAGTCCAAAAAATATTTGACCTAGAGTCATAAGATTGACAGAACAGTGGCGTGTGGGGGCATCCGTGTCCTATGGACACATTTCTAGTTTCAACTACCCCCGCCAACAACCATCCTCTTCTGAACAGCCCTCCTTTTATACCCCAACTCGTGAATTTTTCTTTCAATAGTTTAATCACAAAAAGCTGGATCCATACCTGTATTTATCATATCCGTAACATCTCTCAAAGTCCTTTTTATGCCCCCACAAAGTGGGAGCATATAGCGTTGCACTTGTCCGTCCGTCCGTACGTCTGTCCGTCCGTCCCGAAATCTTGTGAACGCAACTCCTCTTAAACCGGATGGCAGATTTTGCTTAAACTTTCAGGGATGAACAACCTAAATGTGTAGATGGTAGTAAAGGAAGGAATTTTCGATGCGACCAAATTTAACAGAATTATAGCCCTTTGTTGATTTTTTCACTATATACTATGTAGAAATTTTGTGAACGCAACTCCTCTTAAACCAGATGGTAGATTTTGCTTAAACTTCCAGGGATGAACAACCTTAATGTGTAGATGGTAGCAAAGGAAGGATTTTTTGCTGCGACCAAATTTAACAAAATTATGGCCCTTAGTTGATTTTTTCACTATATACCATATAGAAATTTTGTGAATGCAACTCCTCTTAAACCAAATGGCAGATTTTGCTTAAACTTCCAGGGATGAACAACCTTAATGTGTAGATGGTAGTAAAGGAATGAATTTTTGCTGCGACCAAATTTAACAGAATTATGGCCCTTTGTTGATTTTTCACTATATACCATATACATGTTGTCAGTGGGGGCATCCGTGTCCTTTGGACACAGTTCTAGTTCTGTTACATTTTATAATCCGTGAAAGTTTTGTTCTGTCTCGTTCCGTAAATAATTTATTTCTACCCCTCCCACTACGCTTTTCAACACTTCCATACTGTTCATATTTCTTTATTACACTTTTAATTGTTGATCTAGGAATACTCAGTAATCTTGACAATTCTGACTGATTTTTAGCTCGACTTTTCTATGAAAAGGGGAGCTATCCTACTCGCCCCGGCGTCGGCGTCGGCGTTAGCGTTGGCGTCACACCTTGGTTAAGTTTTTCGTACCACCCCACTTTATTTCAGAAGTATTACAAGTATGGCTTTGAAACTTACCATACTTGTTCACCATCATAACCTCCATCTACAGACAAGAGTACATAACTCTGTCAAGGTTTTTGACAGAATTATGGCCCTTTTTTGACTTAGAAAGTGTATTGAGCTTGGTTAAGTTTTTTGTACCACCTCACTTTATTTCAAAACCATTGGAGGTATTGCTTTGAAACTGACCATACTTGTTTACCATCACGACCTTCATCAACAGACAAGAGGACATAACTCTGTCAAGGTTTTTGACAGAATTATGCCCCTTTTTGACTTAGAAAATACATTGAATATGGGTAAAATCCACTTATTGCCTTAACCCTTTGAGATATTGCTTTGAAACTTTTAATGCTATTTCACATCATTACCCCATCTGTACGCAAGAGAAGGTAACTCTGTCAAGGATTTGTTTTAAAAATTAAGGCCTTTTATCGACTTAGAATCTTGGTTAAGTTTTTAGTACCAGTCCACTTTTTGACTGAACTGTTTGAGATATTAATTTGAAAGTTGGAATACTTGTTTACAATCATGATTCCCAAACATGTCCAGGAGAAGGTAATTCTGTCAAAGATTTTATTTGAATTATGGCCCTTAACTGTCAATGTTTTGTATTATAGGCAAGCACTAAAAAACTTAAAAAATCTAAAAAAATTCATTCCTATCCACTTGTTCACTTTACCATAAATTATGTCATATAAACATTGCTGTAATATTCAAGGGTATCAAACAACTAGTTCACTTTAAAAATACAGAGATTCTTGTATTGCCTTTTACTGCAAAAACTTTTTTTATTGGCAAGCAATAAAAAAGTCGAGCGCGCTGTCTTACGGACAGCTCTTGTTATTCTCCTTATAACCAATTCTCGTACATCCCTACTTAATTCTTTTGTTTTCGGGGGCATTTTTAAAAACACCCATGAAATAAACTTGTAAACAATGCAGACAAATTATTGAGCTGTATATTACGTCACCAAAGACTGATTGAACTTTTGCCCTGTTTACATGAATGATACTATCGGCTATTTATAGCGCGCAGCTTAAATTCTAAGGGTACATGTATATGGTGCGTAGCGCGAACGTCAGGGGTGGCGAATAATTATGTCCTTTGACAGTAGGTCTTGCTTTTTATCCTATAATATTAAGCTTTTAAAACATAGCTTTTTAAAATAATTGGGTATCCGAAATGTGTTATATATCCAAATATAAACATCTAGGGTAAAGCTAGCAACAAGAAGTTTCGCTATCTTTAACTTCAACACAAAAAAAACTACCGAAAAATGAAATAATCATAATGTTTATTTGTACCATAAGTTAATAAATGCAATGAATATTTAATTCTATCAATTGAATTTAAAAAAAGTCAATTAAATTTTTAAAAAATCAATCAAATTTTTAAAAAAATATGATGATGCTAAATATGATATGCCGGAGTGTCATATTCGTCTTCAAAATGGACAAAGATAAAGAAGTATAATATCAAAGTATCCCTTTTAAATGTGTTCTGCTTTATATTTGAATGGCTGGATTAAAAAGTCTTATGTAAGATGATAGTTTGATGTTAAAAATTTTAAATATTTTATCAGGCATTTACTGGTGTATGCAAACATGTTTGTGTATTGCTCCTCTGTGTCGTGAATGGTATTGTATCACCTGTACCCTGACAATACACAGTCCTAACTAGGATAACATGTATGCATGACCATATGGTATACAAGGCAAACAGTATTTAGTGTATGACAGTACAGAGGTGGCATAGAAAAAGTGTGACAGCTTCTTGATATTGACTCTTTGTTAATCATGATAATAAGTTTGGACCAACACCTCAACCATTTTTAATGGTAATATCATGTAGTGAGACTTTCTTAAGTTTGAGACTTGTATAAATCAATGCATATGAAGTGTACATACATAGTTTAAACCAATAAGAATAAGCAAAACTTTGAAAAAGAGAAGTGACATGACATAAAGACTGACCTGACTTGTTCTACAGATACAATGTTATTTTGATGCTTCTATTGCATTTTAACAACTTGCTTTACAGTGCACCTACAGATAGAGGAGATAAGTCGGCGCTTACGGACGGGTGATCTAGGCATTCCACCTAATCAAGAAGACAGGTTTGCTGATCAACTGATACATGAAATAACTTCACTCTTGTTTAGGGAACAGGACTTGGTACCAGTAATCTATATAGGAAATGGCACTCATAGCTACAAATCTTTTTCAGAGTAGAAAATTTCAAATTCCTGTTTAAATGTCAACAATATTCTGAATAAGGTTTAAAAATTTTATAAGAATGATGGTTATATACAAAGTGTCTTTGACCAACATTTCATAACTTAGATGATTAGCAATATACTTAAGGAGTTGGAAACTTACTTTGCTAAATAATACATACATTTAAGTCTGAAATCAGATTGTGATATAAACTGTGATCTGCAAGGTAATATTGTTTAGTTTTTCTTAAGTTTTCATGTGATAAGGTTGAGAATGAATTTTGGGATATACATAAATTTGGTTTATGCTTTGTAACTTTCAAGTTGTTTAGTTTTTCTTAAAGGAACTCCACTGAGGTCTAATAGCCTAAAATAATAAATTCTTTCTTAAATCAACTGGTACACTTAATTTTGAAACCAAATAATAGATGATATATATACATGGTATTAAATTGATAATTGATTTCTATGCTGATTTGAGTGAAAAGCCTTTTCATTTTTTGGACCAATTTGCACAATAAGATTGATTATTTTTGGGAAACGGAGTGAGTGAATGATCTGAAATTTTGTACATGAGTTATTGGTCTAGACATACATTTAGTATAAATACAAAAATCATGAAAAAATATTTTCGTTTTTTTCACGTCAAAAAACCTCATAGGAGTGTCCCTTTAAGACCATTTTTAGAAAGAATTTGCAAGTACATGTATAAACATATTCTAAGAAAAAGTAAACTAATTTGTTTAAAACCTTGTAATATTTACTTGCCATTTGTTTTGTTTTTCTGATACCTATGAATGAAATGTTGACAATTAAAAAAAAATGTTTTCAATTTTATACAGTTAATATTCTAGTCAAATGTTGTGCAGGAATTCGGTTTGTAAGTTTCAAATGATGAATCTGTATTTCTCCTTATAAATGCTCCTTGACGTCATTTTAACCCATAACTTGCAGAAATTGGTTTTGTAATGCAATAGTACAATGCCTGGTAACTGTGCACATTTGTGCTGGCTTACCTGGCTTTATAATGATGGCGCAAGCATCAGCAGGGTTTAAGGTTGATTTATAAGTAAAAAGAGGCACCACAAATTTGAAACCACACACCCTTATGATGGCTTTTTCAGTTGATCATCAAAATGACATTAACTATAAAGTTAAAAACAGAGTAGGCAAGCTAATTCTATTCAAAATTTTTAATGTATTTTAAGAAGTTTAGGATTAGCAAAGAACATAACAGACATGTTCAGAATTTATAAAAGAAGGGGATTTATTGTTTTGCTAATGTCAGTCAGTCTATCCATCGGTAGACCACATGGTTTCTGCTGATTATCTTAAAAACTATTTATCACAAAGTTTTATTTCACATACTGATTGGTCATAACTATTGATTTTGGGGTCAAAGGTCAAGGTCACAGGTGCCTTAAATGTCAGAATGGTTTCCACTCATTATCTTGAAAACTATTTATCACAAAGTCTTCATATTTCACATATTGATTAGTCATATATAGTAGTTCCAAGGTCAAGGTCACAGGAGCCTTAAATGTCAGATTATCTTGAAAACTATTTATTACAGTCTTCAATTTCACATATTGATTAGTTATATGTATTGATGACCCCTATTGATTTATGGTCACTTGTTCGAAGGTCAAGGGGCCTTAAATGTCAGAATGGTTTCCGCTCATTATCTTGAAAACTATCTCATTATTTTTCTTTTTCCATAACTGAACACTTCCATGTACCAATTTATGGCATGTTTCTATAACCAAATTACCATTACTAAATAATATGAGTCAAGGGCTAGTAAGGGTGCACAACTTTCTGTACATTCATGGGGGTAGCGTCAATTTCCATTACTAAAGGAATTCATATTATAAAGGAAAATACATTTTATGTTTGTAACATTATAAAAAATAACAATATAAAATTGATTTCAGATTTTGATAACTGAGTTTCTGCACATGTTTGTCTGGAATGTGAGTTATAATAGATAGTTAATATTTAGGATTGGGTTTTTTTTTTTTTTTGACAATAAAGCTTTGGGTGCCATGTCCTACTTTTCAGGTATAAATTTTCTAAGATCACATGATTACATAGGTTTTATGTCCTTGTTTTTAGCTAATTGCATTTTTCTCTTTATAATCAAAATGCTTCAACTTAATAAAGGCCCTCAACTCCATACCAAAGATGTGATCAAAGGGGAGCTAGTCCTGTAATAATACATTTTCAGCTTTAGATGGAAGGTTTGATTTTTCAGAATAAATCTTAATGTAAAACTTGCATTTCAGGAATTATAATAATTATTTTCTAAGCCATTTTTTCAGTCAAATGATAACTTTGTTATATAGATTAGACTTTGACTTATTATCAAACCCAGTTAATTTGAAGTAATTGTGTAACCTTTATCTATGTTCAATCTAAAACCAGTAGCGTTTCACAATGTCTGTCATTTATGCTTTTTAATGAGCAGTGACTTGTTCATTGCCCTTTATATATTTGTTTTTTTTTTTGCAAATCATGGTTTTGTTGCTCCATCTGTCATTATGCTGAAGTTTTGTTTTAAATCAAGCACCAGTGACCCATTAGGCATGTTCTTTCATAGCATGCTGTATTTTACTAAAATAAATTAAATATTTATGTAATAATCTTAATAATTATTTTTTTTTTTTATATTTTTAGGGTTATGATATTTAAGAATATTTATTGAATGTTGAAATTAATAATAATTGACCTTTCTTTGTTATATTCTGAAGTAAATTAAAATATTAAATTATAATACCCCCACCACAAAATGTGGGGGGGGGGGCTATAATGGATTTGCTTTGTCACGTCCGTCGGTCGGTCCATCCGTCTCCATTTTCATGTCCGCTATATAAATCCTATACCAATTGAAGGATTTTCTTCAAACTTGGCTGAAATGTTCACCTCAACAAGGGGATGTGCAGAACCCCATGTGTCAGCTCAATGTCAAGGTCACAATTGGAAGGTCAAATATCAAACAATCAAATATTAGACAGTATGTTGTGTCCTCTCTGTAAGTCCTAAACTAATTGAAAGATTTTCTTCAATCTTGGCTCAAATGTTCACCTCAACAAGGTTATGTGCAGAACCCATGTCACCCTTTTGCCGGCTTAAGGTCAAGGTCACACTTGAAGGTCAAATATTGACTTAGAAAATATTCTTAAATTTTAACATGTATTTGAATATTTCTGAAACTAGAAAAGGTATTTGCTTGAAACTTAAAATATATATGAAGTGTCACAATTAAGATATGCAGGTCAAGTTTCATAAATCTGTATCGTATTTTAACAAAGTTATGCCGCTTTTTAAGTCTTCAAATTTACATAAAATCAAATATTAGATAATATGTTGTGTCCGCTCTATAAATCCTATACTAATGGAAGAATTTTCTTCAAACTTCACTTAAATGTCCACCTCAACAAGGTTATGTCCAGAATCCATGTTACCTTTGTGCCAGCTTAAGGTCAAGGTCACACTTGAAGGTCAAAAATTGACTTAGAAATGTTCTTAAATTTTAACATGAACTTGAATATTTCTGAAACTAGCACAGGTATTTGCTTGAAACTTAAAAGATATTTGAGGTGTCACAATTAAGATAATATGTAGATCAAGTTTCATAACTCTGTATTGCATTTTGCCAAAGTTATGCCCCTTTTTAAGTCTTTAAATTTACATACAATCAATACTAGACAATATGTCGTGTCTACTCTAAATTCTATACTAATGGAAGGATTTTCTTCAAACTTTACTCATATGTTCACCCCAACTGGGCAATGTGCAGAACCCATCTAACCTTTGTGCCAGCTTAAGGTCAAGGCCACACTTGAAGGTCAAAAATTGACTTTTAAAATGTTTAGTACATTGGGAAAATGAAAGGTTATTTGTAACTGTTTCGAACATTATTTGACAATATATATTTATACTATTATCTGTACAATTTGTCTTTTTTTCACCAGAGATAATTTCTTTTTATGTATATGTATTTGTGCCACTAAAGTTATTCCCTTAACCACCTTTCCAAGTCATCTTCTGTCAAGGACATTGGTGGGGATATGAATCGCATTCAGCGATAGTTCTAGTTTGGACATATCCTAAGGAAATATGCATGCTTTAATATATAATAAAGAGATGACTTGCACCAAAGTTTGTGTAATATGTAGTATATAATAACAAGAGATATCTATTTCTTTGTGCAGTTTTGACAATGCAGACATACCCTTTAAGAAAACAAAATGAAAACTAGGACATTAAAACCAAAAACAAAAAATAAATAACATGTTTGGATGAAAATATTACAACAAATTTTTTTTTTAACAGTTCTGCTAGTCCTTTGTTATTGACACTTGCTGTGAGGAATAAAAATCTGTTTTGTAAAATTAGAAAGAAATAGGCATTATTGGCTTGTCTGCATCTGTCAAACTTCCCACTCTAGTTTGCTAAATCTGGAAAGCTCAAATTCACAATTCAGAAGAAATTGATTATGATTTTGAGATACTTTTTTTTTTGTCCTACCACATTGCAGATTGTGGGGGCATATAGTGATTTGTGTGTGTGTGTGTGTGTGTGTGTGCGTGCGTGCGTGCGTGCGTGTGTGTGTGTGTTATAGTAACCTTCAAAATCTCCTCCTTGTTCCTTGGAAGTTGTTCAAAAATTTGAGTTTGTGTGTGTTCAATAGATTATATAGTGAACTTAAAAAATCTTCATCTAGAAAACTGTCAGTCCAAATTCAACCAAACTTGGCAGGGCTTCCAAATTTGTTCAAAGAGTTTGATTCCATGCAGGAATCTAGTTGCCATGGCAACCAAAAGAAATTATAAGAAAAACATTTAAAAAATCTTCTTCTAAAGACTTGCAAGGCCTTGAGCTTAGATATTTTGATATAAGACATTTTCTATTGGACCTCTACCAAGATTGTTCAGGCCATGTGAAATCATTATCATTTTCAATCTTGTTGATGTACAGCTATGAAATTAGGACCATGTATATAGTATAATTAAAAATACATTAAGCATGAAGTATGGTCTCAACATTGTTCAAATTCTTGTAATAAACACTAGCTTTCACACAAATAACTGTCTGTCCTCAGGTGAGCACTTTAGGGCCAATCCTCTGATTTATGTTTTGTCCCCCCGCCTTTGACCTAGCAGATATTAACAATAAAACCTAATGGCTTTGTTAATCTTTTGTAACCCAAGCTTTTGAGATTGAAAAAAATACATGGAATTGGTTTCCCCTCTACCTCAAAGCTGATGTGTGAGGAGTCAGTTTCATTCGCACTCTATGTAAAGTGTTGTTAAAACACATACATGTACTTGACAATATGGCTGAAAGCATTTACAGTAGAATTTCTATGATTCAAACTTCAATAAGTCGATTTTCTCCTTGTGTCGAAGTAAAACGAAAATCTGGAATTTTTCCCTCTATATTCTTTATAAAAACATAGACATGAGTGGAAACTTTGTGTTTTGAAATGTAGATGTTCAAGGTTTTCTCATGGGCCGAATAGAATGAATAGATTACAATTTACCATAAATAAGTAGAAGTCCTTCAATTATTTTGACACCTTTGATCTCGAGACATTTTTCACACCTTTTTTTGCGGCAAAGACGATTTCTGGTCAACTTGTGTGACATGTGTAAATTACACATCTGTATAAAATAATAGCCTTTGTATGCATTCACATGGGTGATAAAGTGCTCTAATTGTAGGAATTCAAATTGCCATAGTTGTATTTGAAAATAAACAATACAAATTAGTTTTATTTGCAAACTTCCGTGACCCGGTGTCACACGGGATAGTGTTTACTATAAGCTGGTTTAGTTATCGCCTTTTCCTTTTGTTACGCCTTTTAACTCGCTTGTAAACATCAAATGCTCGAAATTTTGTCATTAAATTGAGACTGATTCATGAGTCGAAGTACAGATGTGTTGAAATTTTACACAAGTCCCTTCAACTTCAACTTACCAAAGTTCTACTGTATCTTGAACAATTTTTGTTAAAAGGTTGGCAGATAATGCTATAAATTAATTGAGTGCATGTTGGGTTCCAGAGACATACATTTATTGATTATCTGCCAGAATTTAATTGAAATACGTCTGTACAAGCATTTTATAGGCCAATTCAAAGCAAAATTGACTATGTAAGAATAGATTAGATTTTAAACAGGGAATTGTGAGTTTGAGCTGGGAAGCCACTTTATGTCTGTTTATATTTGTTTTATTTTGTTTAATGATCACCAATGTGACTTATATCTCCTGGATAATGAACATCTCGTGGAAAGGTGCTGTAAGACATGTTAAGCATTTAAAGATGATTGCAGTAGAATACATGATGTAGTAAACCATTCCATTTTCTGTCCATTTAATGCTTTTCTTACCTTTCCTGCACAAAGTATTGTAATCTTATCTTTTAGTAAATTTAATTGTTCAGTTTGTAAAAGGTTGATGGTCTTGCTAAAACATTTTTTTGCTGACTAAAGTTGAAATCAAGTTGCATGTCACTGTCTTACAAAATCTTTCAGTTTGTTACATTTGTCACATGGAATGACAGGATATAGCTTTAGCCTGAATGCTATATGTTAAAATTTGATTACGGTAAATTACATACTTTAATTGCAACACATAGCAAATTGTTAGGTACAATTTATTTTGTGGAGATTCTGTTTGCAGTATAAGTTGTTGGGGGAAAAAAATAAACTAGCCCATCAAAGCTGTTCAGCAGTAATAAGTGTACAAATTCTTATAAGCACAATCTGATATAAAAGATTAACATATATTTTGGTGAGACTATGCTAATTGTCAGGCAGTATAACAGTATTTTAGAATTATGTTAACCCATTACTGCATGAGCATTTTGTGAAAAATGGCTGTTTTCATTGAAAAGTCTCCTGTTACAAGTTCAAATTGCTATAAAACTATAAAAACTTCTTCAATTTTAATCAAACTTGGCACAAGTGTTGACTGGACCATTATCTTTGTAACAACATGCTCAGTCTTAATTTTTCTGTTACCATGGCAACAAGGGGACATCTCAAAACTGCCAAAAATAACTATTTTGCGTTGATTTTTTTCCATCAAAATTGATTTCAAAGTGCTGCAACCTTAATGGATTGAGATAGAGTCAAAGGCTTTTCAGCGTTGGTTACACATTACCTTGTGATCGACCTGGAGTCATTTTAAGCCTCTCACAAGTCCAAAAATTTCTTGGCAATCAGGGGGACTCCCGTCAAATCCTCAAACAGAAGGGGGCACATCCCCCTTCTGGCAACCCCCTGATGTACCTTTTGGATGGGGGTTGCCAGAAGGCGGCGCCGAAAAAGTGCTCACTGTTTTAATCAACATTTCTCAAACGAAAACATGTGTTTGGGGCCCAAACGGGACATTTTTCACTACTTGAGGCCTAAAAAGGGGGGGGGCAAAATGTGTTGTTTCGCGTATATATGAGGTAAAGGGTTAATTATTTTGATATTTTAAAAAGGCTAGCTTCTGAAATTCCATGAAGACATTGAAATAATCAAATAATTATATGTGATTAACAGTTACGCAAAGTTTAAAAAATTAATTTTGAAACAGGAGATATATTGGCTTTTCCAGTGAACATACTCTCAAAAGTCTATATTCAAAACTTTTGAAATGGCTAAAGCAGACTTTCAAAATACTACAGAAATATCCAGGAGGTAGTCACTAGTGTGATAGTTAGAACTTGTATGAAGCAATATTTTCTGTTTCTGTTAGGTCCCCATCTCCTGAACCTATCTACAATAATGAGGGTAAACGTCTCAACACAAGGGAATACAGAACAAGGAAAAAGTTGGAGGAAGACCGTCACAGACTTGTACAAGAAGCCATGGGTTTGAATACAGATTATAAACCACCTGCAGATTACAAGTAATTAGCACTAACTGACTTGATTTTGTTTGTAAATGAAGCTAAATGCTGGTCCCAGCTAATTTCTTCAATAATGTGCAGAAATAAACTTATGTTAAAATTAAAACTGGAAAATTGACATATGATCATTGTTGGGGACAAATTAAAACCAATCATGTTCAATAACGCAAACAATACTTTGTAACTGTTTACAAGTCTTGTTGTCTTTTGAACTTTGGTTTCTGTAATGTGAGGAAGATCCAAACTTATCAAGCAAAGATGGTTTTACTTAAGTGCATGTTTGTGCCCTAAATAATGCACAGAGAAATGAGGTCTTGTATTCTACGATCTAATTGGCTCATTTTTAGCTCGACTTTTCTTTTTTTTTGAAAAAAAAGTAGAGGTATTATGATAGTCGCGGCGGCGTTGCCGTGCGCAAACTTGTACCTGGATCATAACTTTTTTAGTTCTTGGTGTATTGTCTTCATACTTGGCCACAACAACCCTTGGGACAAGACCTTTCAGTAGGCCACACTAACCTTGACCTTCATCCATAAATGACCTTGACCTTCAAGGTCGAAAGTCCAAATTTGGATTGTTCTTGCTATTATTGGCTGTAACTTTGTTATTTTTAAATGGATTGTCTTCAAACTTGAACATAATAATCTTCAAGGATAACCCTTAAAAAAAACCAGACAGACCTTGACCTTCACACATTAATGACCTTGACTTTGAAGGTCAAATTATTGAAATTTTCATTGTTTTGGCTGTAACTGGCTGTAACTTTGCTATTATTGAAGGGATCAACTTCATATTATAACAGAAGATACTTAGGGACAAGACCTTGTTGTTTATCAAACACTTGGGCTCTTTAATGACCTTGACCTTGAAGGTAAAATAACTGAATTTTCTCAGATTTGTGCATTAAATGACCATATATATTTATTGGTGTGTGTGTGTATATATATATCTTATATTAAAACGTGATGAATGTTCCTTGTGCAGTGTTGAAATATATAAAATTATAATGTTTAAGAAATAACAAACTCTATATGTAAAATCGGTAGCGCTTTCAATGCTTTCTTTGCATATCTTCAGCCGAAACTTTAATAAACATATAAACAAATGACGTAACGTCATGAAAAAAAGCGGGAACGTTAAATGATAACGTATTTCCCGGCAAACACAATATGGTTATTTATACTGAAAAATAGAGAATACGGACATTGAGCATAATCCGTACAATCTGGCAGTGAATAAATGACATTTATTAAAGGGAGGTAATAAAATTCACAAGTTAATGATTTTATGGCCACAAATTGTATGGTAATTAACAATTTTTACTCAATAAATATTGCTAAATAAACGAACAATTGGACTGAATAAAATCGCAATCATTTCTTTCATAATTAAAAATGAAGAGATTGTAATAAATATGAAGTACTTGTATATATATACCTTGTTAAATGATTTTTAACAATGAGCATTTAGCTGTGGTTTTAATAACTTGATTAAAAGTTTTTCTTTTTCTTCTCTAAAATTATCACTTTCGATTAATATCTTATATAGAGGGAAAATGCTAAATTTACCTCCTGAACAATTATGTAAATGTTTATTTACTTGTAACATTCTGAGTTCTTCAGTGTTTGTTTGTTGCCTATGTAAAGTCATACGTTTACATAATTCATTTTTTGTTTGGCCAATATAAAACTGTTTACAGTTGTCACAAATTATTGAATATATCACATTTTTTGAAACACAGTTCATACTTTGTTTTATCTTAAATGTCTTACTGTTACAAAATTGTATTTCATTTCCTTCTATTAGAGAAGGACATGTCTTACACCTACTCCTGTTGCATTTAGAAACTGTTGTTACTGTTGTTGATATATATATCATCATCATCAACAACGTGTATCTATTTATACAGGGCTGCCGATTTTCCGCGGATCCGCGGAAATCCGCGGATTTCGTGAGCTCCTGAGTCATTTTTGAGATCGATGTAAATTCGACAAAGACAATAAATTCATTCGTCATATTTTATACAGTACCCAAAAACCGGCACGCTTCGGCTTTTATCGTTACGCTAGCCGCCTATGGTACGTCTGTAAGCGCTTTTCTCATTGGTCATATCGAGTCTTTTCCGGCATTTTATTTTAGAATAACCAATCAAATTACAGTTTACATTGTCGCTCTTGTCTGTTGTCAAAATGCGTCAAAATGTCGGATATTTGTCAAATTTAGAGTCCAGGAAATTGATTTTAGGGCATACCAAATCATCAGAATCCAGGAGCTTTTGGGGGCTTCGCCCCCTGAACCCCCACCAGGGCTCTGCCCTGGACCTGCAAAGGGGGCTTGCGCAGCCCCCTTGACCCCCGGCGTATTTTCCGCTGATTTTGAAATTTGCTGTTGGCAGCCCTGTTTATAGAATGTATTGCGTGTAACTATTTATAGAATGTATTGCGTGTATCTATTTATAGAATGTATTGCCTGTATCTATTTATAGAATGTAATGCATGTATCTATTTATAGAATTTTCTATTTATAGAATTGTGTGTTTCTATTTATAGAATTGCGTGTTTCTATATATAGAATTTTCTATTTATAGAATTGCGTGTTTCTATTTATAAAGTTTTCTATCTATAGAATTGCGTGTTTCTATTTATAGAATTTTCTATTTATAGAATTGCGTGTTTCTATTTATAGAATTTTATATTTATAGAATTGCGTGTTTCTATTTATAGAATTGCATGTTTCTATTTCTAGAATTTTTTATTTATAGAATTGCATGTTTCTATTTATAGAATTTTCTATTTATAGAATTGTGTGTTTCTATTTATAGAATTGCGTGTTTCTATTTATAGAATTGCGTGTTTCTATTTATAGAATTGCGTGTTTCTATTTATAGAATTGCGTGTTTCTATTTATAGAATTTTCTATTTAAAGAATTGCGTGTTTCTATTTATAGAATTTTCTGTTTATAGAATTGGGTGTTTCTATTTATAGAATTGCATGTTCCTATTTATAGAATTTTCTATTTATAGAATTGCGTGTTTCTATTGATAGAATTTTCTATTTATAGAATTGCATGTTTCTATTGATAGAATTGCATGTTTCTATTTATAGAATTTTCTATTTATAGAATTGCGTGTTTCTCTTTATAGAATTTTCTAATTATAGAATTCCATGTTTCTATTTATAGAATTTTCTATTGATAGAATTTAGGTTTCTATTTATAGAATTTTCTATTTATAGAATTTCGTATGTCTATTTATAGAATTGCGTGTTTTTATAAATATATATATATATATATATAAATGAGTATATTTATATATTTAAAATATATAGACAAAACTAATGTGACAAGACAGACCGATTAATTTTATAAAAAGGAAACGTTAAGATTTGTTCAAACATTTCTTTTTGTTTGCTTTTAGAAAAAGTAAAAAGTCGAGCGTTGCCACCGCCCGGCGGTGGCTCTTGTTATTGTTTATTGTCATAAGCCTATTATAGCATTTGGCACGATATGGCCAGTTATGTGTTGACGTGCCGTAAAAATCCAAACAAACAAACAAAACTAGTAAAACCTAGAATGTTGTCATTTGACCTTTATAGTGTTGTTGTGACTAAAGAAAAAGAACTGAAATGAACAATATATAATATACTATGAACTGTTGATTGCACATGAAATTATGGCATCATTTCTGGGACACTTTTCATTTGGAGGTGGGGCATTTAGATCAGCAACCGTATTGTATTTAAAATTTACATCGTGGCATACAACCTATATACAACTTGCAAACTTAATGAAAACATAAAAAGACAAAATGTCAATTAGTATTAACTGTAAACAGTTTTTATGCTCCCCGAAAAATTTCGGGAGAGCATATAGTCGGCGCCTTGTCCGTCTGTCCGTCCGTTTTCTCCGTTTTCTTGTCTGGAGCATAACTTGAAAACCCTTGGAGATAATTTGTTTAAACTTCATACAGTGGTAGAGGGCATTGAGGGGGAGAGCAGTGTCAAAGAACCATAACTCTATTTTGCCCGGTTTTTGAATTATCTCCCCTTATAGAAAAATCTTGTCCGGGGCATAACTCTAAAACTATCAGAGATATCAACATGAAACTTTGTAGGTGAATAGATCTCAATGGGTAGATGTGCAGTGCATAAGAACAATAACTCTTTTTGTCCTAATTTTGGAGTTATTGCCCTTTGTTAATTTCAACACTTTGAACTTTGTCCGGAACATAACTCTAAAACTATAAGAGATATCAAGATGAAACATTGTAGGTGGATAGATCTCATTGAGTAGAAGTGCAGTGCAAAAGAACCATAACTCTGTTAAGCCTCATTTTTGAATTATCTCCCCTTATAGAAAAATCTTGTCTGGGGCGTAACTCTAAAACTATAAGAGATATCAACTTGAAACTTTGTAGATGAATAGATCTCAATGGGTAGATGTGAAGTGTCAAAGAACCATAACTCTATTTTGCACGGTTTTTGAATTATCTCCCCTTATAGAAAAATCTTGTACTAGACATAGCTGTAAAACTATAAGAGATATCAACATGAAACTTTGTAGGTAGATGTATCTCAATGGGTAGGTGTGCAGTGCATGAGAATCATAACTCTGTTTTGCCTAATTCTGGAGTTATTGCCCTTTGTTTATTTTTACTTTTTGAAGTTGTCCGGAACATAACTCAGAAACCATAAGAGATATCAACAAGAAACTTTGTAAGTTGATAGATAACTGATTAGAAGTGCAGTGCAAAGAACAGTAACTCTGCCTTTCCTTATTTTGGAATTATTGCACTTTGAACTTTTTCCAGGGACATAACTCTGAAACTACAAGAGGTGTACTTTCCTGTGTCCAAAACCTATTCGGGGAGCATCACCCGGCTCAAACCGGGCTCTTGTTCTATCTTTTTTAAAGTATTAAGACATCGTAAATTCTATTAGTCACAGAATAGAATAAAGCTATGTTAGGTAAGGACTATTAGCCATGTTGTTTACCTGAAACA